TGTGCACACACCCAACAGTCACTACGATTAAAAACATTAGTAACATTCTGCACTAATTTTAGGTATAACTTCTGGTCCCAACCTTGTGTGCCAATTATCATATGAGTCCAAATTATGACCGACACAATTTCATACACAAGGGTCCTGAAGGTTCGATCCGCCATGTCTTCTTTGGCTCTGGTGCTTTCTTTATTCTTGAATAATGTATCCAAGCAGGTTGTTCCTTTATCGTCACTGCTGTAAAGGTGGTCAATAATATCTGGTATACTCCGCTCCACTTCTCCTGTAGAGGATCTCCTGAAAAATTTTTAACATAAACCCAGTCTCCAGATCTGAAAGGGTGAATCAGATAATCCAAACCTCTTGCTCTTGTCCCTACTATTCTCTTATTTATCTCCTCCAATAGTTTTCCCAGATTGAACAGAAACTGTCAGAGATAGTCATTTCCCTCACCCTGAAGACTTTCTCCTTTAAACTGGGACTGGTATGATCTTCCATACAAAATTTCAGATGGGCTATCCTCTTCTTTCGACTGAGGTTTAGTTTGAATTCTTAATAGAGCCAGTGGTAAACCTTGGTGCCAATATAAATTCATTTTTTACTAACATATTTTACTAATCTGTTGTTTGATCAGATGAACCATCTTTTTCTACTTGCCCGCTGTCCTGAGGCCTGTATGGAACATGTAGTTGCCAATCAATTTCTAATTTTTTAGCGAATTTCTTGTAAGAATTTTGCACTGAAGTGTGAATCCCGCTCGGAAGAAATTGCTTCTGGTACCCCCAAACGAGGTTATTATCTCGTTAAATAATGTTTTAATCACTTGTTTTGCATTATTTATTCTACAAGGGAATGCTTCTGGCCAGCCTGAAAAAGTATCCATTAACACCAACAAGCATTGATAACCCCCTTTTCTTGGCAATTCAGAAAAATCTATTTGCCACTGCTGTCCCGGATAACTTCCTCTCCCAGTTGTCCCAATTTGATTTCTATTTTCAGTTTTAGGATTATTCTTAAGATATAGCTGACATTGTTTTGTCACTAACTGAACTGTGGTGTATAGATTCCTTCCTACAATTTGTCTAAATATTTATGCAGAGAGTTGCTACCCTAATGAGTTTTATTATGTTCTTCCTGAACTAACTTCCAGAGCTGGTTATAGGGGATTACAATTTGCCCATCAGATATCTGAACCCGACCCTCTTTATTTTCCTGTCCTTTTAGATCCTCAATCAATTTTGTATCCTCTTTTGAATACCTAGGTTTGGATTTTTCAATTGTTAGTTTGCCATCAGGGATTAAGGACATGATTTGAAATTGTTCAGCTGTTCGTTTGACTTCAAAATTGGCCAAATTATTTCCAGTTTCCTGATCAGAGTCACCTTGTTGATGTTCTTTACAGTACATAATAGCTACTTCTTCAGGTAGCTGAACAGCTTTCAGTAATTGTAGAATTTCTGTAGCATGTTTAATCTCTTTCCCTTGTGTGTTCAAAGGTCCCCGTTCTTTCCAGATAGCACCAGGAGCACAGACCACACCAAATGCGTATTTAGAATCAGTCCAAATATTTATCCTTTTATCTTTAGCCAATTCCAGGGCTCTCGTTAATGCTATTATTTCTGCCTTCGGGGCAGAGTTGTTTGCAGGTAAAGGTTTAGATTCTTTTACCTGTGAAGTGGTGGGAATGGCATATCCTGTGTTTCGTTTACCATTTTTCATGAAGCTACTACCATCAGTAAATCAAGAATCAGCATCTTCCAGAGATTTTTCTTTCGAGTCTGGTCAGCTCGAATATACAGTCTCTATGGTGTTCAAGCAGTCGTGTGGTAGTGGCTCTGTCAATTGTTCCTGCAAAAGGATGCTGGATTCACAGCGTTAGTGACCACAATTTCTATATCATCCTGTTCTACAGTGGTGGTCTGGTATTTTAAAAAAACGTGAAGGAGATAACCAGCAGGCTACGTTCTGCTCCAGGACTGCTGATACCACATGGGACACTAGTACCGTAATCTTTTGTCCCAAGGTGAATTTGCGAGCTTCTTCAATATTTATGACGACTGCTGCCACAGCTCTTAGGCATCCAGGCCTAATCTTTATTTTAAAATTTATTAATGATTTTTTTTATTCCCTTTGATCTTCTAATTTTAAGGGGTACTGTTTTATTCTAATTGGGCAGGCCCCCCTTTTTTATTTCCACTTTAACAGGCAAAGCATTTTTCACCTTACCTGAAATGTATAATGCCCATAGTCCCACATATACCTGATTAAGGATTTCTTCTTTTTCAGGGAGGTCCTCCTTTTTGCTTTTCTGTTGAATTAAAGATAAACTCAAAGCTGCAATTAATTGATTGTTTTTAACTCTAAATTCCATTTTGCCTTCTTTCAATGTTGCTTCTCCCCATAATAAAGACTTCAGAGAATTTGGCATGCATAAAAATTTATGCATTCCTATTTGTTTTCCCAATTTGTACTTTAAAGGTTTCAGAAAGAATGCCTCTCTTTTTTTTTTTTTTTTCTCTTTTTCTTGCTGGCCAGTACCTTCTACATCTGTAATGAATTCTTTTCTCTCTGATTTAACATCAAATAAGTTGCTCCTGTATCCACTAAAATTCCACTTTATTTCCTCTAGGCCCTAGTTTCAATGTAACTAGTGGATCTGCTAGGGTAGATTCCCCAGGTCCCCGTCAGTTTAGTTCCAGTTCAGTCACCGGAGCCATTCCATGTCACTGCCCCTCTCCAGGGCAGTCTCATTTCCAGCATCCAAACTCCCCATAGCACACACACCGATTCGGTCCCACAGAAGTGGAGCCCACTCCCCCACCTCCTCCTGACATCCCTCCTCCCACGCTCAAACACAGGAGCTGCTCGAGCTCCCCTCCTTTTCCCCTTGGTTTTACCTTTTTTTTTTTTCTCTCACAGCTGCTCACCCCGCTCTGCAGGGCCTTCAGATGTCTGCCTCTGCAACACCACTTCTGGTTTAATCCCTTCTTAACTCTGAATGTGAATGTGCCGCTTCTTGCCAGTGACAGAAATCTCTTCCTCCTTATCAATGTCAGATAGGACAGCTGCAGAGGGTGCTCCTCTCGGAGGTACCTGTGGTACATGATTTTCCAACCTGTCTTCCTGTTTACTGTTTTTTAACTTTAAACATCTTTTCCCAATATCATAGGCTGAGCATCTCCAGCTTAACTTACAGTTTTTCCCTGTCCTTTCTGCAAGACACCACCAGCATCTTGCAGGACCCAAACCACAGGAAGCCCCCTGCTTCCTGTGGGTGTATACCAGTAAAATTCAAAACCTTTTTTGCAAGACACCCCCTGGGTCTTGCAGGACCCAAATCACAAGAAGCCCCCTGCTTCTTGTGGGTGTATACCAAAGGGACGCTAGCAGCTGGGTATACTCCTTTACCTATGAGATTTCCTATCTCAATTTACAGAAGGTTTCCAAACCGTGCCTACGCTTACCAAACCAATTTACCAAACCAGTTTACCAAACCAAGATGCCCCCTGCACCTTACAGACTATACAAAGAAAAGAATACCTTTTAGGAGATGGTCCTTGTCTGCTCCCCCAGTGATCCGAATGAGTCGAGGGGTCCCTCCGGGAAAAATTCCCGAGGGCCCTAGGGAGCCCTGTCCTCAGCGGGTCCTGCAGCCGAGCACAGAGGGTCCCATATGGGTCGCCAAATTGATTCGGAGAAAACTCTAGGAACAAACTTGCCAACAAAGTTTTCAAGCTGACAAGCAGGTATTCTTTATTGCGGCACTGGGAGACACAGGGGAGAGCTCCTCCTGAGGTGTGTCCCGCAGTTGCAACATAACCCGTCCTTTTATAGTCCCTGGGCATACATACACATTCATGAGGCTACGTATGGATTACATAATTTTCCAGAAAGTTCCCCGCATGTGTACAGAATTGTGGTGGTGGTCTCTGAGGGTCCTTTGCTTCTTCCAACAATCTTCATCACTTCTGGGAGCCTTTGAAGCACGCACAGTAGTAGTATCTCAGCATTACAGACAGGATACCCTTGCAATACTGAACCAACCAGAAGAGACCAGGGCCCTTAGTGTGGCCCCTTCCTTGGGAAGTGCCTGGCAGGATCAGAGGCACTGGATTTTGTGAAGATCCATACTGGGTGTATAAATCTGGAGTATTCTGAATACTTCCACAGGGTGCAATTCTTGAGGAACAAATTGCTCCACCATGGGTGTCCCACTGTGTCACAGATCCTGCCAGCATACCTGTTTTTCACACCCCCTTGCCACCAGAACTTCGCCATGCAAACCCAGTTGAAGCTTGGCTTCTGTCTTTCCCTCCAGTGCTGCTCCTTCCCTTTTGTTTGGTGTAGAAAGATGTCAATTTAGAGTTTTTTAAAGAAAGTAAAATTGAAGTAAGGGTAATGAATGTTTGAATGAGGAGTCTTACTTTTCCCTTAAAGTCAACAGTCCTTTTGTCATATTTACAGTTTGTGTGTTGCTGAGCATTTGTATTTGGTTTTAATAGGTTGTGTACTGGATTTGGGAAGATATTTTTTGTCTGAAATATGATTTGGTGACTTGTCATTTTGTTTAGGTGTATGTTTTCCTACTGTGACCTGTTTGCCATCTGAGAAAGGGGTTATAGCCTGAATTGAAGCCTGACGAGGTTTAAAATACAACAGCATGTGTTATATCAATTGCATCTGCTTCTGCTTTTTTACTGAAAATGAGCAAATTGGGGAGGAAAGAAAAACCTTCTTATAGAGAGTCTTTGTCCCCTTTGGGTGGTTCACCTTGCTTTCCTCCGCTGTGAGTTGTTTGGGTTGTCTGAACCTATGAAGCTTTAAAAATTCTGTGTATTGGAATAAATTAATTTGAGAGAGGTGGCACATCTAAAATTCTGATAACTTTATTTGAAACAAAGTTTTAACTGAGAACTTTCATTAGTGTCACAGGTCTGTTCTGTGAGAATAAACAGAAGCCTTAAATTCTGAGGATACCCATTGTTACATTTTTGTTTTAGGTGGTATCATGGAAAACTTGTCAGAGCAATTGCAGAAGAGCGTCTTAGGCAAGCGGGAAAACCTGGAAGTTACCTTATTCGAGAGAGTGATCGGAGACCGGGTTCATTTGTTCTTTCATTCCTTAGTAAAACAAATGTCAATCATTTTAGGTGAGAATTAAATGTTTTATTTTAAAGCACTCTAACCTGTTTATTTGCCGTTTTAGAACTTAGTGCAGTATAGAAAACAGTTGTTTTATAAATGGAATTTTTTCTCTGTTTTATCCATGTATGTTATAACTCTTTACTAGGGTTTAATTGTTTTAAACCATGCTACTTAAAAATTTCTTTACAGGCTAAAGAATGAAAATGTGAGGAAACCAACAAAATCAGAATAGAGAAGCTTGTTTAATGCTGTTGTGACTAAATTTACAATAACATGCAGGCTTCTTTCTTAGTAATCTGAGGAGATTGTTTTGAGTCTGTTCCTCAGTTATTGCAGCTCACAGGACATACTTGAATGTCAGTCATATCAAATCTGGGTGCTTCCTTTATAAGAAAGAAATAAGGAAAAACAAAGAAGTTATGTTTTAATAATATGAGGATTTGCTGGAATCAGTTTTCCGTATGTTACAATTCATTCTAAATACAAATAGGCTTTTATACAAAATTGTAACTTAGATTATTTTACCATTGTGAAGTTGTATACATTAATTTATTCTCATTTAGTGTAAACGGGAGATGTTCTGGGAAGCGCTTGAATGTTAGTCAGCAAGTAGTATGCTGCAGTGTAATGTTCATCTTCACAATATAGGATCTCAAATGAATCTTCAGCAATAAAAAAAAAAAATTGCTATCTAGATAACAAGAAATAAACTGAAAGTAAATTTACTTGCAAAGCAAACAGAAATAGCATGCTCATATTTACATCATGTCTGAACAAACAATTCATGCTTCTTGGCTATAATGATTCTTGTTTGGGAACTGGTTACCATGTAACAGTAGGAGAAAATTAAATTATGTTAATACTTGCTTTTCAAGTGCTGTTTTTAAGAGTCTTATTTTTCTAATAACTTCTTGTTATTGTACCTAATCAGGTGTTGAATGTTGGTTCATGTCCAAGATAAATATGTTTCTGGCATCTCAGAAAATGGGAAACCGTTAAAGACTAAGAAAGGGTTCCTTATCTTTTCAAATTTTCAAGAATCTTTCCTTCTTGGATCCATTAAATATGTGAAGGGAGAACTATTCAAAGGAAACTAATTTGTTTGCTGATACTGGTCTTCATAGAACAGACATGATTTTGGCTTCATTTGCTGACTGTGGACTGTTTTTGTTATTAGAAGGGCAAATGCTACACTCAAACATTTTTCAGCCTCAAGAATGGCAGTCTTGAAGTTATTTCAGCCAAATGCAAGGATATGTCCACTGGGTTTCACAGACTAGAATTGTCACTTTTACCAAAGCTTGTTCCTTGCATTCCAAAAAGGGGTGAAATTTCCATTGGTCAACAATCTTGCTGATATTTTTTTGCCTAAAAGTGATATATTTTTTATTAACTTTTCAGCACATATTTCTGTTTAACTAAAATACCAATATTTTAGGTGGAAATTCTTCAGATCCCTGTTCCCCATGTTGGATATGGGTATACACTGGTTCAGTATATGTTTACAGATAGTGTAGGAGTCCATTAAAACAAAATTCTTTTTGGCTGTTATAGTATGTTTTTTGCTGAGCTGCTGAGTGATATAAATATTGGGAAGGAAAATCTTTATCTTTTCATCTTGTTCTTCAGAATTTTCTGTGATTGAACAAGTCTTTGTGCTTCCTAGTGCCATCTGTTCTGAAGGTTTCATTTGAGCTTGATTTAATAATAAATTGTGAAATTTCATTTATAAACCTATCTTCTAAATAATTTACCATGAATTTTATTAGTAATCTGGTAGAAAATATGCCAAGAGATCTAGGCTAGATCTTTAAAGTTATATTATTTTCTGACTTCCCTTGCAGTGCTATGTGCTTAAAAACTTCAGATTTTATCTCTGAAGATCTATCTTAGTATGTGTTTTACACTTCTGTATGGGAGAAATATAGTTTAAACAACTAAGAAGGGAGATTTTTAAAGCAGGAATGTGTCAGAATACTGACCTGTTAAAGAAAAATAGAACAAAAGTCCAAGAATTACAGAATCATTGAATAGTTAGGGTTGGAAAGGACCTTAAGACTATCTAGTTCCAACCCCCTGCCATGGGCAGGGACACAACACACTAGACCATGTTGCCTAAGGCTGCCCAACCTGGCCTTGAACACTGCCAGGGATGGAGCATTCACAGCTTCTTTGGCCAGCTGGTAACTCAGAACCACACAACCGCTCACTCACTCCCCCCTTCTACCTCCCCCCCCCCCTCGGAGGGATTGAGAGGAGAACTGAAAGAATATAAATCCAGTGGGTTGAAAGAAGAACGGTACCATACAGAACTACTACTAACAACAATAATAATAATGATAAGGGAAATAGCAAGGGGAGATAATATAAAACTAAAAGGGGAAAAGGAAATGAAAGCAATAAACATAAGTAATGCACAATACAATTGCTTGCCACCCGCCAACCGAAACCCAGCCAGACCCAAACAGATATCTGGGCCTTCCGGGTGACTCCCCCCAGTTTATATACTAGGAATAATGTGCTGTGGTATGGAATACCCCTTTGGCTAGTTTGGGTCAGGTGTCCTGTCTGCTTCCTCCCAGCTTCCTGTGCCTCTCCTCCTTGGCAGAGCATGAGACTGAGAAAGTCCTTGATCAGAGTAAGCATTACTTAGCAACAAATAAAATCATCTGTGTGATGTCAACATTATTCTCAGACTGAAGTCAAAATCACAGCACTGCACCAGCTAGTAGGAAGGAGAAAAATAACTGTTACAGCTGAAACCAGGACAGTGCTGTCCCTGCCCATGGCAGGGGGGTTGGAACTAGATGATACTATGGTCCTTTCCAACCTTAACTGTTCTATGAATCTTCTCTGCCCAACCTGTAGCTGTTTCTGGGATGGTCCCAACCGAGGTGTGGAACCTTGCACTTGGCTTGGTTGAACTTCATGAGATTGGTATTGGCCCACTTCTTAAGCATGTCATAGTCCCTCTGGATGGCATCCCTTCCCTCCGGCATATCAACTGAACCACACAGTTTGGTGTCATTGGCAAACTTGCTGAGGGCACAATCAATCCCACTGTCCATGTCAGCGACAAAGATGTTGAACAAGACCGGTCCCAACACCGATCCCTGAGGGACACTACTCGTTACTGGTCTCCAATTGGACACTGAGCCGTTGACTACAACTCTTTGCGTACCACCATCCAGCCAGTTCTTTATCCACTGAGTGGTCCATCTATAAAATTAATGTCTCTTCAGTTTAGAGACAAGGATGTTGTATGGGACAGCTTTGAAAGCTTTGTACAAGTCCAGGTAGATGACGTCACCTGCTCTACCGCTGTCCATCAGTTCTATAGCCCCATCATAGAAGGCCACCAAATTGGTGAGGAAGGATTTCCCTTTAGTGAAGCCATGTTGGCTGTCACCAAGCACCTTGTTGTTTTTCATGTGCCTTAGCATGCTTTCCAGGAGAATCTGCTCTAAGATTTTGCCAGGCACAGAGGTAAGACTGAGTGGTCTGTAGTTCCCTTGGTCTTCTCTTTTTTTCCTTCTTGAAAATGAGGGTTATATTTCCCTTTTTCCAGTCATTGGGAACTTCACCTGAATGGCATAATTTTTCAAATATGATGGACAATGTCAACTTCATTTGCCATCTCCTTCAGGACCCGCGGATGGATTTCATCAGGTCCCATGTACTTGTGCTCATTCAATTTCTGAAGATGGTATCAAACCTGATCCTAAGAAAACAACTACAGATATAAAATATGCTCTTTTTATTTTTATTTGTTCAGAAGCTTTGCAAAGAAGTAAAATGCTAAGTAAATATTTAGTCAGACATGTTTAACCTTTTGTCCTGTAATTTGTTTTGAAATAACTTTAAGATAATTTTTATTCATTTTCCAGATGTACCATGATTTTAGATATTGTTTTTCTTTAATTGAAATTTGATTTGTTTACTAATAGTTTTTATCAATTTCTTGATTTTTATTGTATATTTTTATCTTCACTGATCAGTGATGTTATATATTCTTCAACTTCACTTTTTGAAGTTATGTCATAAGACTTCCTTCTTTGGCAGAAGTGCTCACCAAGCAAATTTCAATTGATTATCAGCTGTCCTGGCTAACCGGGGAGATCCCAGTTGACCGGAGGTTAGCAAATATTACGCACATATACAAGAAGGGCCAGGTGTATCTGGAAAACTACAGGCCTGTCACTCTGATCTCTGTGCTGGGGAAGGTTATGGAGCAGTTCATCTTGAGTGCCATCACACAGCAGGTACAGGATAACCAGGTGATGAGGCCCAGTCAGCATGGGTTTATGAAAGGCAGGTCTTGCTTAATTAACCTGATATCCTTGTATGACAAGGTGACCTGCTCAGTGGATGAGGGAGAGGCTGTGGATGATGACTACCTGGACTTTAGTAAAGCCTTTGACACCATTTCCCACAGCATTCTCTTGAAGAAACTGGCTGCTTATGCCTTGGGTAAGTGTGCTCTTTGCTGGTTAAAAAACTGTCTGTATGGCTGAGTCCAAAGACTTGTGGTGAATGGAGTTAAATCCAGTTGGCAGCCAGTCACAAATGGTGTTCCCCAGGGGTCAGTATTTGGGCCAGTTCTGGTTAATATCTTTGTCAATGATCTAGTCAAGGAGATTGCACTCTCAGTAAGTTTGCAGGTGACACCAAGATGGGCAGGAGTCTTGATTTGCTGGAGGGAAGGAAGGCTCTGCAGAGGGATCTGGATAGGCTGGATTGATGGGCTGTGGCCAGTGGTATGAAGTTCAGCAAGGCTAAGAGCTGGGTCCTGCACTTGGGCCAAAACAACCTTGTGCAATGCTACAGTTTTGGGGAAGGACTTGATGTGGAACTGTTGGAGGAAGTCCAGAGGAGCGCCACAAAGATTATCAGAGGGTTGGAGCACCTCTCCTATGCAGACAGGCTGAGAGTTGGGCTTGTTCAGCCTAGAGACAAGAAGGGTCTGGGGAGACATTATAGTAGCCTTCCAATACCTAAAGCGTGC